CGAGTCTTGGGTTTGCACTGGTCCTCCGCCTCCTCCTCCACCTTCCCCTCCTCCTCATCCTTCCCCTTTTCCTCCTCCTCCTCCTCCTCCTCCTCCTCTTCCTCCTCCTCCTCCCCCTCCTCCTCCTCCTCCTCCTTCGCTGCCGGGTCTCTCCGTCGCCGGTTCGGCACTTTGCTGACTGGCCGGGCCACCCAGAAGCACTCGTGGTGAGCGATCGTGCGCCGGTACTTGAACGAGATGTACAAGTGGTGCCGCCGGCCACCTGTGCAGGGGGAGAGAGGTAGGGAGACACCGAGGGGAGGCCGGCAGGTAGGCAGGAGCGTAGCAAACGAGCCGGATAGAGGGAACGGAAGAATGGGCAGGGGGGGGCGGGGAGAGGAGGGGGGGGAGGGAAGGGGGAGAGGGGGCGAGGGGGAGAAGGGGCGGGGTGAGAGGAGAAGAGACGGAGGGGGGGGAAGAATGGGGAGAGGGCCAGGCAGAGCGCGCTCGCATCGCATCTGACTGCACCCTTTCGTGCCCACTCCGTCCCACTGAAACTACCCATTCGGGTTCCCTTACCTGGATGTGGAATCGGACCGAGATCTCCGGATGGCGCTTGCGGCGCAGGAGCTCGTAAGCGCGAGGGATTCCAAGCCAGACGAAGCATCTGGCAGGGAGATCAGGAAACGCGTCGGCTGGGGACGCGCGAGATCGAACAACGCCATCCACGATAGGAAGCGCCATTCGTGAGAGGAGGTTCGGCATGGTGACGGGGGGACGAGGAGAGGGCGAGGGGATACGCAAGAGCGAACGACGCCCTCAAGGAGACGCGCAAGCTGCGATCGGGATCCCGAGGCTACTGGGGCGCAGAGCAGGAAGAGGGGTGCACTGGCCGAGAGGGAAGAGGATCTGGCGCGGAGGCAGGTGGCACTGCACAGCGTGCCTGCGCAGGCAAGGGGGCGAATCTCAGCCCTGATCCGCGGGGTGCTGCGGCTTCAGTCGGATCGCCAGCGACCTTGCCCGCGACCCTCACGGACGCGCGCTGGCGCTCCCTGAAGATCCCGACTCGTTGCTGCTGACGCGCGCCTGCAGCGGATGCGTTCCAGGGGGCGTCCGCATGGCTGGCCTGGCCAAGCAGTGCAAGAGTGGCTTCGCTGGTCCACACAGCCAGAACAACGGTAGGCGGATGCGGAACACCCAACCACAAGCGACGCCAAGGTGATCTCTGAGCTAGTTCCGCTTCACTAGTTTCTCAACAGCCACCTGCAAGAGGTCCATTCGAGTCCACTGTGACCTGCTCTAACGCTCATTCGGCGTATGACGGGCCATCGCCCTTTTTTATGCGCTGGTTCCTGGTTCGGGCGGGGGCGAGCAGGTTCTGGTCGGGGACACTGGGCGATACCACATTTTGGTACTAAAGCTTCTCTTCGGCTCCTTCCAAAACATAGCCCTTTCCGTAGGCTGGAGCTCTCAGTATGCTTCGAACCTCCAACGAGGCTAGAATCACAAGCTCTGTCTACACCGCGAAGCTGAATCCTCCTCCTCCTCCTCCTCCTCCTCCTCCTCCTGGTCCTCCTCCTCCTCCTCCTCCTCCTCCTCCTCCTCCCGCTCGTCCTGATCCTCCTCCTCTTCCTCCTCCTCCTCCTCCTCCCTCCTCCTCCCTCCTCCTCCCTCCTCCTCCTCCTCCTTCTCCTCCTCTTCCTACACCTCCCACTCCTCCCCTTCCATCTAATTTCAAAATATGTCTCTCCATCCTCCCTTTCTTCCTGCTCGGCCCCCTTGATGTGCGGGCGGACCAACTTGCACCACGGTTGATCGGGCCTCTTCCCGCTCCCGCGAAGCTCTGCATACGCATTGTCAGGGTGAGTGGGCCTAACGGTCAATCCCTGTCCCTGGGTGCGTGGCTGAAGTGGAGTTCCGCGGTGCGGATTGTTGTTGTTGTTTTTGTTGCTGCTGCTGCTGAACTCTCACTACTGAAGAATAATTAGCGTTGATCCCCCTCTGGCTACCATTATGTGTTTTCAATTGAAGTGCTTCCCCTGGGGGTCGCACCTTGTTTTTGATCAGGAACATAACAACGGTCAAACTGCGCCCCTGGCCCCCAGATTACAACAACAACGGCTCCCGCCTGAGACTTCCTCACAATTTAGCCAGCACCCCCGCTCCCGCCTGAGACTTCCTCGCATGTTACTCAGGAATCGCGCTCACGCTTGGGACTTCCTTACAATCCATTCAGGAATCGCTCTCTCGGCGCTCTGGAGTCGCGCTCTCGCTGGAGACCTGCTTGCGATCTATTCAAGAATCGCAAGATCCTTGCATGTTGCGGATCCTTCGTGCCTCCTCACTGCCCCGCACGCCGCCCCATTCCTCTTCCTACTCCTTCCCGCTTCTCCCTAGACTTCATTATTCTCCTCTCATTTCCCTTCCACTCCACATCCCTGCGCTCCTCCCCATTCGGTTGCACTTCTCACCACTTCCCCCGCCCCACTCTCGAAATGTTCCGTTCGCGCGTGTCTCGAACCAGTTGGCAGTTACAAGTTTTCTTTCGGGGTGCCCAGGGCATGATTCTCAAGAAGGTGATACATCGCACAACGATGGCGCAACCCACGACAATATCTATGACAAACTATGTTCCAACATCGGGCGCAACACACGTCGCAAGCTGAATCGCATTTTACGGCGCTGTGATTGCTGCGGTTGTTGGCGTTGTTGTTGTTGCTGTTGGTTGTTGTTGTTGTGGTGGTGCTGTTGTTTGTTTGTGTTGGTTGTTATTGCTGCTGCTGCAACTGCTGTTGTCGTCGTCGTCCCACTCGCGACCCAAACCGCTACCTACCCGCGACCCGCCCGCGACCCACCCGCGACCCACCCGCTACCCACCCGCGACCGACCCACCCGCGACCCACCCGCGACCCACCAGCGACCCACCCTGCGACCCACCGGCGACCCGCCCGCGACCCAGCCGCGGCCCACCCCGCGCCCGCCCCCTCACTCTTATCCGCAACAGCGGGGCGCTACGGCAGTTTACAACGTGCGTTCGATAAGTTGTGCAAGTAATTCAGCTTGGGTTCTTTAATGCGGGTGCGATTGCGTTCCCTCTCTCATCACCACGTCGGCACACCTCTTACCAGATTTGCCCGTCTGATGAGGGACAGGAGTCGTTTCGATCCTGTGCACGCGTCTAGTCGCACGCGTCTGGTCACACGATTGACTGTGTAGATCCACTCCTTGCTGACTACTCCTGTTCCAAGCAATACCATTGATCGGGCCACTTCCCGCTTCCGCGCGGATATGCATACGCATTGTAGGTTTCAAAATGTGTTTTATGAGTTGTGAATGAAATTGAAACATGGGCCGTCAATTCGGATGCGATTATGTTCTCTCGTCACCACGTCGGCGCAACTCCTACTGGATCTGGCCGACGGTAGCGAAACGTGGAGCTCCTGTTGTGGTGCGCCCTGATGAGGGACAAGAGTCGTTTCAATTATTTGCATTCGTCTGGTCACACGCTCGGCTGTACAGACTCACTCCTTTCTGACTACTCCTAGCCTGACCGAATCGATGATGCGTCAAAGCAGGCTCTGTGAACACTGAGCTAACATCTCATCGTCCGTTGACCAGCAAAAACATTCGAGCATGCGCAGATCTACCAGCTTTCACGCGCATGTCCTGCATCAATCCCCTCTTCACGATGGTCAATCCGTGCAAAGAAATAGATGAATGCTTGCCTGGGTCACTGTCGCAGGTTGCGCGGTTCACAAACAGCAGCACAGACCCCGCCTGAACAGTTGCCACAAAATGAAATATCATGTGTCGTAGCGTACCTGCTCGCACAAGCCCGTCTGCTCCCTGCGACATATGCACACCAATCCTCTTGTGGGCGCTCACGGCTGCAAGCAAAGACAAAAAAAACGCATGCCCACTCCAGCAAGCGACTGTACGCATGCGCGCAGGCCACTTTGCTGACAACAATGTGACGTGCTCGGCCGATACGATCCCACGTAGACCTGGAAAGGGAAACGAACTCGACCGCGAAGGCACGACCCACGCATCATGCACGACCACGCGCAGGGCCACACACACACACAAACAAACAAACAAACAAACAAACACACACACACACACACACAAACAAACAAACAAACACACACAAACAAACACACAACAACAACAACAACAACAACAACAACAACAACAACAACAACAGCAGCAGCAGCAGCAGCAGCAGCAGCAACAACAACAACAACAACAAAACACACACACACACACAAACGCGTACTCTTCCTCCGCTGGCGATGCGACACTGCCGTCGCGGGCCAGAGCGCACGGAGAGCGCGCGCCCACGCGAGCTGCTCCCCGCGCGGTGGATGCAGCGGCCACACGGCGAGACCGCTCCCACGGAGGGCGGAGACCCACGACACGCCCTCGCCGCGGAGGACGGCCTGCTCTGAGACCGCCAGACGGTGTGCTGGTGGGCCCTGGAAACGACAGGGCCCTTCTTTCACCGGTTCCGTTTCGCCGTTTGCTTTGCCCCTTCCGACGCCGTGCTTGCACCGGCTCCGGCGCCGCTGTGTGAACCGGCTCTGGCTCCAGCTCCAATCCCGGAACCTTGTTGCTGCCGGTTCTTCTGGTCGCCTTTGTTTTCCCGCTTCCACTTGCAAGAGACACTCTTTCGGAAACGGTGAAGCAACGGCCCTTGAACATTTGCTCCTGCTCGTTAACATTTGTCACGCGTGCGGAGCTACACTGTTAATGCAGCGCTTTCCTGTGGCTTTGCTGTGTTCCTGCTCGCAACGCACACCACCAGAGGCGGCGGAAAGCTTGAGAGGTCCACCTACCAGAAGATCCCACCGCCCCAGGTGTGGAGCGGGCGCGTCGACAGCTGCGGGGAAGCGCGCCGGTGCTGCGTGGCGGCCAGCATGCCACCAGAGGCGGCAGGTGTGTGCCACTGGCGAGGAGGGAGTGGAAGGGCCAAGAGCGCCGCGCACGGGCGACGTCTGCCGAACCTCCGAAGGTGAAGGGGCCCAGGGACACACAAATGATACACACACAAAGGGGCCCAGCATTCCCATGTTTTTCCGTATCTTTTGGATTTTCGTCTGCCCCCCCACTTCCCATAGTTCCCCATCTTTTCGTGGGAATCGACTATGAATTGTGCATGTGTGTTTTTCCCCCCTCCTGGGAGGGTCCCGCAAGGAGGAGCCTCGGAACGGGGAAACCGAGTCCCTGTGAGGGCCTCAGCTGGGCACACAGATGCGCGAGGAACACCCGGAGAAGGCCCATGGAAGAACCTGCGGAAGCAACGCACCTTGGAGGCGCCTCGGGGGGGGTCTGAGCTGATTGGGACCCCAGACAATCGGTCAGGAGACGGGGATGAAGCCGAATGAACCCGCTGAAAACCAATGCCTGGACCCCTCCAGGGCTCCATCTGGTGCAGCCTGTCACCCTGGATCCGTTTTCGCCTCTCCTGGGGGCCAGAGGCGGCCCCCGAGCGCCGAAGAAAGCAAAAGCCCCCCACGGAGCCAGAGCCTCGCACCTGCGCGCCCCTCCCGCTGGCCAGAACCAGTGCTGGGCCACCGGAAGACCCCCAGGCGGCTCCAAAACGAACCCCTTTCGAAGCCAAAGCGGGTCTCGTCTTATGTTGCTCCCATCACACTTAAGGACCACATCCCAGAAACAATGTCGAGCACTCAGAACAGTGTCGAAACAGTGTCGAACGAGTGTCGTCTCCCAGGGCCCGACACGTGAAAACCCTCAAGTTTCGGCATTTTCTCGGTAGTCGAAACTATTTCTGGTGATCAAGGCTAAAGTAAGTTGGAACATCATAAGTCTCGTCTCGAGGGTCTGACCTTCATGCCGCTCTCGTGTGTCACGCTGCCCGCTTCCGTCGCCTCTTCCCCCCGCGAGAGCTGGCTCCTCGGACCGCTGCAGCAGCGCCTCGGCGGACGCCAGCGAGAGAACGTCCACCTTCCAGGAGCGGGGGAGGCGGGAAGCGAGTCGAGGGTAGAGAGAGGAGAGAGAGAGTAGAGAGAGTAGAGATAGCAGAGAGAGCAGAGAGATGCAGAGAGAACAGAGAGAGCGGAGAGAGGAGAGAGTATTCCCCTTCCTATATCTATATATACATGTACATACATACATACATACATACATACATACATACATACATGCATGCATGCATGTATACATACATACATACATACATACATACATACATACATACATACATACATACATACATACATACATACATACATACATACATACAAGCCGCCACAAGCCGCAGGGGGGGGGGGGGGGGGAAACACCCCACCCCCACCCCCCAAACCCAGACCCCTGGGATCCGCGGCTGGCCCCAGGGGCTCCCTGGACGCCCCTGCCGAGGGCCCCCCTGCCTTTCCGGAGCTCATTGATTTCCCATGGGTGCTCGTATGATTCGGGGCGTGCTCTGTTCTTCCTCCTTCCCGGCGTCCGAGACCGCCCAGGAGGCCCGAACCTTGCCCCAGAACTACCCGACAAGGCCTCCAGGCAGTCCAAGAGAGCCCCAAGACGGCCCAACAGGGTCCAAAGATGGCCCGAGGAGAGCCCTCATGACGGCCCAAGATGGCCCTAAGATGCCCGCCGAAGCATTCCAAATCGTGACCCGGTCGTTCAGGTAGACCGCAGTTGGAAGCAGGGTGGCCCGAGGAAGCCCCCAGAGGCTCACTGAAGGCGACCAGGAGACCTCCAGAAGGCCCCAAGAAGCCCTTCAAAACTGTCGTGAGGCCTCCAAGAGGCTCTCCAAGGAGGAGCCTCCACAAAAAGAGCTGAGGAGGATGGGGAAGGATTCGCAGGGTTGGGCAAGAATGAGGAAGTGGAACAGGAAACATGAGGTAATGATCCTGCATTGTCAGATCAACGACGTCGGAAAAAGGCAACAAGTAGTTATCGCTAAATGTTGAGTTTGCATTCCTGCCCTTCCGCCTGCATACGAAATTTCAAATACAAAGTACATGGCGCGAAGCGCCACTGCAGCCTGTGTATATAGAATATAAATTACCCCAGTGCGACCATACCTAGACGTTGGAGCCCCTAGGAAAGCAGCATTAATTGCTATGCTATGCTATGATATGCCATGATATGCTGCGCTATGCTATGCTATGAAATGCTATGCTATGCTATGCTGCGCTATGCTATGCTATGTTATGCAATGCGATGCTAAGCTATGCTATGTCATGCTGCGATGTGCTATGCTAAGCTATGCTATGATATGCTATGATATGCTAAGCTATGCGATGCTATGCTATGCTATGATATGCTATGCTATGATATGCTATGCTGCGCGATGCTATGCTATGTTATGCTATGCTATGCTGTGCTCTGCTATGCTAAAGCTCAGCGAAGCTAAGATGAAGGTAAGCTAAGCTAAGATAAACCTGAGCTAAGATGAAGCTAAGCTTAGCTAAGATGAAATAAGCTAAGCTAAGATGAGATAAGCAACGCTAAGTTAAGGGGACGTAACTCGGGGAACCGCGGGGCGGATACTGGGGGAACCGCCCGGGGCGCTTTCCACTGCACGGCCCCTTTTAAGCGCAGAGAGTAAGAACCCTTCTAGGCAGAGCCTAGGTAGGGAACAAATACATACATATATCTATATATATGTATACACAGGTATACCTATATGCATATATATATATATATATATACGCATATAGCAGGGTGGAGGGAGTACAAAGAGTAGAGAGGGGGAGAGGGCAAAAGATAGAGAGGCGTATCAAAAAATGAAACAGAGAGCCGTGCATGTCAGAGGTGCATGGGCAAGGTCGTGAACCGATCGCCTGTAGCTCACTGCCAGCGGAACTGCCGTGAAACGGTGGAACGCTAGGCAGAAGTATCAGCGAACATCGTAAAAGGGGCAGGGGAGGCTGAAACAGCCTCCGTTTCCAAACGTTGCTGCCACAGAGTGCGCAGGTGCGCGGGGAAAGACAGTGAGCACAGGCACGTACACGTAAACCCCACCTCGTCCTCATCCTCCTCCTCCTCCTCCTCCTCCTCCTCCTCCTCCTCCTCCTCCTCCTCCTCCTCCCCCTCCACCTCGTCCTCCTCCTCCTCCTCCTCCTCCTCCCCCTGCTCCTCCTCCTCCTCCTCCTCCTCCTCCTCCTCCTCCTCCTCCCCCTCCTCCTCCTCCCCCTCCTCCCTTCCTCTTCCTCCCTTCCCCCTTCCCCCTCGTGAGGCGACAGAAATGTAAATTCTCGGAGGTCCACGCGGGTTTCTCGGGTAGGCCCTCGACACTCCCAGGCGCCGCCCTCGCCGCGCTCACCGGCGCAAATTTAGTGGGTTCAGGGTGGTCATGCTGCAGGATACTTTATTGTGTGAGTCTCACGACATCAAAGTAGCTTCGGAAGCATGCCTCCGTGGGGGGGGGGTACCCTGTGTTCGCGCCAGCGGAACGCTCTGAAGGCAACCGCCCCATTGGAGGCATTGCTATTTTGGTCAGGCGCACTCGCGACACAAGCACGTCCCCCCTGCCTCCTAAACTTTCTCCTTCCTCTGACGCGTCTCGATTGCTTGGGGTCAAGCTTGACACTCCCGGCTTCGACCTTGTCCTTCTTGTCTCTCTATGTCTGCACCCTGTTGTCAAATTAAGCACTGAGAAAAAGGCGTTTCTGGCGCACCTCGGCAGCATGCAGCACCAGAGTGGGATGCCACTAATCGTTGGTGGCGATCTTAATTTATCCCCCTCCATCCTCACTCATATTGATCTCTGTGAGCGCAGCGGTTGCTGCATAGTTACCCCTACTGCCCCTTCTGAGCAAACGTATTTAATTGATATTTACATTCACTGCTGACTCACATCACGTTTGGATCATTCGTCGCCCCCTCTTGCTGGGACGTCTGCCCCACAAGCGTTGCCCCCCCCGTCCCAGGGCTACGAGGCAGAGGTGGCTACCACAGGATCTGTCACTGCACCGCCCTTGCAGACGTGCTGCAGCGGATTATCGCATGGATTTCTGCCAACGCAAAACCCCAAAACAGCGAGTCTCATGATGGGACGTCTGACCCACATGCGTTGACCCCCTCGGCCACGGTGCTACGAGGCAGAGGTGGTTGCCACAGGATACGCGCTACACGCTATATCACCCATCACTACCAGGTGCCAACATCGAGCACCTATTTCAAGGGTGGGAGAGCCGAAGTGCCCCATCCGATTCAAAAGGGTTATGCCTACCCCTAAGGGCATCAGCACTACACTACAATCCTCCTCCTCCAGTTCGCTCCTCCTCGCCCCTCTTCCACCTCCTCCTACTCCTCCTCCTAGGCCTTCTCCTCCTCCTCCGACTACTACTACTGCTACTACTACTACTACTACTACTACTACTACTACTACTACTACTACTACTACTACTACTACTACTACCACTACCACTACCACTACCACTACCACTACCACTACCACGACCACTACCACTACCACTACCACTACCACTACCACTACCACTACCACTACCACTACCACTACCACTACCACTACACTACTACTACTACTACTACTACTACTACTACTACTACTACTACTACTACTACTACTACTACTACTACTACTACTACTACTACTACTACTACTACTACTACTACTACTACTACTACTACTACTACGACTACGACTACGACTACGACTACGACTACGACTACTACTACTACTACTACTACTACTACTACTACTACTACTACTACTCTACTACTACTACTTACTACTACTACTACTACTACTACTACTACTACTACTACTACTACTACTAACTACTACTACTATCACTTCCACTACTTCTACTACTACCACTACTACTACTACTACTACTACTACGAGTACTACTACGACTACTACTACTACTACTACTACTACTACTACTACTACTCCTACGACTACTGCGACTACGACTACTACTACTAGTACTACTACTACTACTACTACTACTACTACTATTACTACTACTAACGACTACTACTACTACTACTACTACTACTACTACTACTACTACTACTACTGCTACTGCTACTGCTACTGCTACTGCTACTACTACTACTACTACTACTACTTCTACGACTACTACTACTACCACTCAGACCACGACTACGACTACGACTACTACTACGACTACGACTACGGCTACGACTACGACTGCGACTACGACTACGACTGCGACTACTACTACTACTACTACTACTACTACTACTACTACCACCACTACTACTACTACTACTACTACTACTACTACTACGAATACTACGGGTTCAGCGTCGGTCGGGTCAAAATCCTGAAACTTTTGAAACTTTTGAAGCTTTTGAAACTTCTGATATTTTGAAACTTTTGAAACTTTTGACACTTCTGACACTTTTGAAACTTTTGAAACTTTTGACACTTTTGAAACTTTTGAAACTTTTGAAACTTTTGAAACTTTTGAAACTTTTGAAACTTTTGAAACTTTTGAAACTTTTGAAACTTTTGAAACTTTTGAAACTTTTGAAACTTCTGGAACTGTTGGACCTTTTGAAACTTTTGAAACTTCTGAAACTGTTGAAACTTGTAGAACTTATGGGATTTTTGGAACTTTTGCAACTGTTGGAACTTCTGAAACTTTTGGAACTTTTGGAACTTTGAAACTTTTGAAGATTTTGTAACTTTTGGAATTTTTGACCCGAACCTTCTGAACCTTTTGAACCTTTTCAAACTTGAGAACCTTTTGAACCTTTTGAACCTTTTGAACCTTTGAAACTTTTGAAACTTTTGAAACTTTTGAAACGGCTGAAACTTCTGGACCTTTTGAAACTTCTGAAATTTTTGAAAATTCTGTACCTGTTGGCACTTTTGATACTTTTGAAACTTTTGACACTCTTGAAACTTTTGAACGCCTCAAAAGTTTCAAAAGTTTCAAAAGTTCCCGAAGTTTCAAAAATTTCAGAAGTTCCAAAGGTTCCAAAAGTTTCAAAAG